GTCGCGTTGGCGTTTATGTTGCTGTAAGTTCCTGTTTTCAGGTTTAGGTTTCAAATTTTCGTGCGGTTGCACTCAATCACCTTCAGTGTTTGGCTCTTTTCGACTTGCTGAGACATCGTAGACTATTGATGGAGTGGTTTTTGTGATTAATTCTGGATTTTCGAAATAATGAGGTTAGTTGCGCAACTTTCAGACCAGTGTTTGCTAGCCAGCATGGAACGAGGTCAAATTTACCCTGTATTCTTACCTTAATCTAGAGCATTTGCATCACCTCAAGGTAAATACTGTAGAGTAATTCATCGCACGTAATAGGCGTCACTGCGGACGCTGTCGGCGTCTCGCTGATTGAGCGCTCTTTCGTACCTCTTGCCGTCTGCTGTCTCTCCCATGCACGAATTTTCTTGGTCGGACACAATGACGCCCAGTCTGTGCATTTGATAAATCGCCTATACCGGCAGTTTAAGCGGGTTGATGGCTTTTTGGATCGATTTCTACCTCAGATCTGTCTGATGCAGCTCGAAATATGCGTAATTGATTGTGTCTATCTTGTGCATGATTACGAGTATGCGCACTGGAAGTATATTTTAATCCTTAATATATGTTGATAGATACGGACGCAGAGCCTGCTGTTTTGATAGAGGTTCTCGTGACATCTTTATACCAACTCAAAGAATCTTTGCGCACTTGGACGTTTTATTGCACACAATTCATCTTGAGGATATCTCCCGTAATGTCATCATTTCATTATCATGACATTTCAGGACACGAGATCCTGCTGTACTTGGAGTGCGATGTTATCGTTGACGTGGGAGGTGTATACGATCATTCGAAGAAACGATACGACCATCACCAATTGTAGGTCTTGCTTTGCATGCTGTTAAGTTTGAGTCTCCTACAGTCATGAAGATCACTCAATTAATGTTAGTAATTCCATAATCGTGCTGTTTTCAGAGAGTTCAATGAGACGATGCAGACATTTGGGCCTGGATTCTAACTCTAGACTCAGTTCAGCTGGATTGATCTAGGCTCATTATGGAAAACAACTGATTGCAGAGGTAAGCATTGTCAGTCAGGGTTAATCTTTCTTATTCAGTTTATTATCGTCAGATACTTGATTCCTTTCACGACGATAAGATGGTGTATATATTTTTTCGAAAGCTCTACGAAACGTTTGTCGAAGCCATAGATGCTATCGATAACGGCATACCACAGTATGATGGCACACCCAGGTAAGAGCCTTGTCGGTATCCATTTATATCTTGCTTGAAGTTTTATTTTTTTTTTTCGAATAACGTTTTGGATGAGAATCATGCTTTAATCATCAACATATTGTATGCTGATCTCTTCCTATCTATATTGATTTGGCTGTGTGGTTTTGCTGCTTCAACATATGACTTTGAAAATATCAAACATCTGAGGCGGTATGCATCAATCTCCCGTTTTGAAAGCGGGCGATCATTTTCAATAGTAAAATGATTGCCCGGAAGGGTTGGCCGCCCGACCCGTAATGTACGAAGCTGCGGCCAACCCGGCCGGGCATTCATTTTTTATTGGAAATGATCGCCCGCTTTCAAAACGGGAGATTGATGCATATCGCCCCTGGTGGACTTTCTGGCCGTGTCAATCATGTGAGTCCCTACTGGAACGAAACTGGCCCCATGCCCGACGAGAGGTTTCAACAAGCTATAGATCTTGTTGGAGGTTAGTCTGGGTGAACCGCAGTCAAGGTGTTGGCTGTTTGACATCACCCATGCTGTGTTTCACCTTTGATTGCATGTTTCTCGCGCAACTGCGTTTGTGCGGTGAGAGTCGCGTCGCGGAATGTCTTGAGTCAGCACGGTAACGCAGGTCATGCTATCATCATTTATAGTGCAGCTTTGAGATCACGCTAGATTAGGCGATTTTACAATGCTGGTTGAGGAGCTTTCTAATTTCTGCGGCATTGACGGATGCATATTTGTGCACGTGACAAGTGCATTTGAAATTTCTCATATTTTTTGCCAATTTCTTCATTTTGTGGTATTTAGGGTTTATCGGAGGTAACAAGGCATTCGAAGGAGCTCTAGCTATGGCAAAGAAGGCGCTCGAAATTGGAGATGCGGAGATTTGTGTTAACGTTGCATTTAAGTAATGGAGTGCAAGAGCATCGTGCTTTTGCTGGCCCAACAACTTTGGAAGTATCAGAATGAGAATTTTTTCTTCTGGATGATATCCCGAGTGATTTGGATACAGGGATCGGTTCATAATATTTGATTGAGTTGATTGTTTGGAATCAAGATAATGATAAATGTTTTAGCTAGCAGCAAGATCTGAAAATGGACAGGAGATAAAGAAAATGAAACTGGACAATGAACAAGCAGTGAGCAGTACTGAACAAGCAGTAAGCAGTACCGTGGAACCTGCTCATTAGGATAGTTTCTGATAGAGAACAGAAATCTTTCAACTCTTCCCTTTCTTTACCTCATCACAGCTGCATTCATTTTTCTTCCCACCGTCGTGGTATCTGTATAGTATTTCTTGTTTACTAAGTATCGGTCATGCCATAGGACGCTCTCGTAGTCAAAATATTGTTCAAGTTGCTCTTGCTATATTCTCTAACTGTGATTCTCTGTAAAATATGGTGATTTCGTTTATCACGTCGTATAACTACTTGTCGAGTTCAAATATAAACTGTGTCTACCAAAAACTTCCGCCCAAATTCTTGATTATGCTAATTTTTTCTTCGATCATGAGTAAACTATTGGGTGTTTGCAAACTTGGGTCGCGCTGAACTCCTACCTGGGGGGGGGGGTCTTATTCGGCTAATTTGGGTGAGGTTTAGAGACAAAATTGGGGTTTGGAGCTTAAAGGCAACGTCCAGGCAAGTCTGGACCTATGGGGATTTTACATGGAAAGTACTTTTGGGGCCCTAACTAACCCACTACCCAACCGGCAGCTCAGGTAGTGCTGTAACGCCTGAGATATTCTGCTCGAAACTGGACCCCGCGACCGTGTTTCGCATGGATTCATGGCGCAAAGCGTGGATCCTGGCGCGAAACTGCCATGAATCCATGCGAATACGTTCGCGGGGGTCTGTTTCGAGGGGAATATCTCCGCCGTTAGAGCACTACCTGAGCTGCTGCTTCGGCAGTGCCTTAGTTAGGGCCCCAAAAGTACTTTCCATGTAAAAGCCCCATACCAGATCTGCCTGGAAGCTGCCTTTAATTAGGGCTAATTACAGTGTGCCGCGGCAGACCTGCGGAGCACAAAATCGGGGGGCTCCGGCGCACAAAATCGGGGGGCTCAGGAGCAGAAAATGGGAGGTATCCGGAGCAGAAAATGGGAGGTATCCGGAGCAGAAAATGGGAGGTCTCCGGAGCAGAAAATGGGAGGTATCCGGAGCAGAAATGGGAGGTCTCCGGAGCAGAAATGGGAGGGCTCCGCCGGACAAATGGGAGACCCACCGCTGGGGAAACGCCGCGACCCTGCCATTTCTCCGGCGGAGGGGTCCTATAGTACTCTGCGTTGATACCACTGCTT